AGAGAATTGCTTTTTAGGATGACCCTTTCAGTACAGATTTTGTCTACAGACCAAAAGATTATAATTCTGACATAAAATGCTTGAATAATGACAGTCATTAATAAGTGCAAAGGCATAAATACAAAGACTGATAATGTGTGTGAGGTTAAAGACTACCATTTATAAGCCATTAGGATTATTTTAATGTTCTATTTTAAAAATATATTTTAATTATCACTATAGGATGTATTAAATTAAAATGTGCATTGATGGATCCTGGTACTATACATAAATATAAAATATAGAAAGAAAAATTAAAATATAAATAAACATTTTTTAGAGTAATAGAAGTAGAAAGACAATATTAGATAAAGTTATAATAAGGTCTTAGTCACCTAAATATATTCTGTGAAGATAGATTATATTAACTGGATTGTTTATTTATTTTTAAGTAAAAGGGAAATGTCTTAGGCAGTTAAATTCTCCCTTCTTTGTTAATTTGTTTTCAGTCCTCTAAATCTCTGACTGTTGTAATATCTTGTAACAATAAGCTGTTAAATCCTTAATTCTAGTATAATCATGAAACTCGATAGGGAGTCCAAACATTACTTTGTAATTTAATTTATCTATCTTATTTTTCTCCTTTGAGATATGCAAGAATAGAAAATGACCTGATAATGTGCAGTGAAACAATTAAATTATATTGTGCAGATATTGTGATGAAATGATGTGTATTTAACCTTTTGCTTTTTGTACCTTTTTTGGTACAGAGAATTTGGAAATAACATTATACCCTGTTGTTTAATTGCCTTTAAAAATGTTTTGTGCAGAACAAATAGCCTAATTTTATGAGGTTTTTTTTGTGGATGCTAAACTCTGGAACAGAACCAAAAGACAGCCTGACAGCCAAAACAAATGAAGAAAATCATTTCCCTTACTAGCTTTACAGAACATTAATATGATGACTTAAATAACTTTCCATTTCCAGCAAAGTCTTTGTCATATTTTTCACCTCAGTTAACTTTTGGCTACAGTCCTGAGTCTGTTAAACTTTTAAACAAAAATCCAAACCAAACTTAACAACAAAATGTTAGTAAAATTTTTCAATGTATTGGATTTTGTTGTGGTGAGTGCTCATATTTTAATTTTTTTCTTATTCTCCCCCTTCCAATTACCCAGAGCAATCTGGTCAACATCTTTTTATCTGCCTTCAGTGATGTAAACAATTTTTAAAAGTTGGGATTATAGCCAGTATCCTACAGTATTTCCTTCCTTATTAAACTGGAAGTTTTTACTTATTTGACACTTGTTACAACATTTTCATATCAACAAATCTTACCTCTTAAACTTTACTGTGAGCTCCTTTAATGGATTGACTTTACAAATATGTGAAAAAGGTGTGTTGCTTGATACAAGCCAATGTCTGAGGTTGAATAAGCAGAGACTGTGCTTGAAGTATTGGTCAGACATTGATAATAAATCACTGCCTTGCTGTCTATAATTTATAGTCTAATAGGAGAGCTAAAATTAAACACACAAATCATTGTAGTCTTAGAGAAAATAAGAACACTACAGGGTGGGGGATCAAAGGAAAGAGAAATACTATGTTTAAAACAGTATCAGGAAAGGTTTTGTTTTGAACACTTTGTAAAATGTGTCTAAAAGAATACCTTTGTCATTTGTACAGCAATTGCCACTGTTAGGTTTGCTGCTAGGATTAATGCATTTTCTGACAATCCTAGAAAAGCCATTTATTATCCTCATCATCACAATATATATTATCTTCTGCTTGGGTGAAAACTGTGTAGGGTCTGAGGTAATACAAATTAGCCTGTCACAGTTTCATAGATGGTGTCAGAAAACATTTAACTCCTGGGTCAAAGACTAAGGACTCTATTACTAAGTCACAGCAGGCAGCAAGAGACTCGTGTTTCCATTAGTTTCCATGCCTGCTCAAGTCCCACAGGGGTACCGTACAGCACCCTTAGGTAGAAGCACACAGTGCACATTTGTTACATTTGAGGAACCTCAACTTAGAAAACCCTCAGTCTTTAAGGGGCTATTAGCAAATGTGTCCAGTCTTTGGTCAGGAAACAAATCTTCCATTTACCTGGGTTAGAGATTGTATCTGTATCTTTTGAAAAGATAGTCTGAAATAAAAGCCATCAAAAGATGTATAGAAATACTAAAGGGAATTACCCTTCAAAGTGTGTTTACACAATGCTGGAAATAATCATCATGAAACAAGGATTTAACAGAAGTTAGGCTTTTGTCTTTGGAAACACAGTTTATTTTTATTATTTTGTGTGGTACTGGGGTTTTGAACTCTGGGCTTCACTTTTGTTGGGTAGACACTCTACTCTTGAGCTGTCTCGAGCCCTAGAAAAACAGTCTCCAAAGAAGTCGTTGTTGTCAGTAATGAAGACAAAATGAATAAGAAGGGGTGATAATATTTTAATAAGAAGATCCTTGTATCTCAGAAGTATGTTAAGACTATTCCTTATTCTGAATTATGGATGAAGTATTCTCTAATTTATTCATATCCATAAGTGAAGTAGTCATGAAAATCTTTCCAATGACAGATGATCCTACAATGAGTTTACATTTTATTTTATGTGTACACACATATGTACATAAAGTCCATATATGTGCATATTCTAACATATTCACTTGAGTTACTTATGCATTCACAGTAAAATCATAATTCACAAGATAACTTAAATCTTAAGGTAGAATAGGTCTTAGAAAATCATCATAGAAATTTTATGCCTCAGTCTAATAACCTTTTATAAAATTATAAGTAGGTAAATTTATAATCACTGCAGCTTTACTGCATTGGATTAGAATTCATACCTAATAAGGTGCCAGTGAGTCCTCTTAGGGTTCAATAAACTTTAACTTTACCTGCCATTGAAATACTGATGTGATACCTTTCCTGAATCATATGTGAACCTTTGATGGATTCATTGCTAAAGTTAGAAACATCTATTGGAAGATTTTATGCATGTGTTTTAGTTTTTTTAGGAAGTTTTCATTTATAGCCCTACTTTTTTCTTGTGCTGCAATATAAAAAAAATCCATTTAAAATTTATATGCTGTACTGAGAAAGCTAAAAGAATACTTGATGCTGAGTACTGTTATTAGGAAACTCTTTGGGGCTCAATATACCAGTAATAATTTAGACTGAATAGTGGTTACCACTATGCTAATAAATCTAATAACATAAAGATGATTATAATGAAATATCATTGCCACCACCTTTATAAATTTCAGTGTTAGGAATACATCAGGACCTGGGTTTGGCTACACAATGTATGAATTAAGTGAATTATTTTATTTCTGAGTTAAGTGATGATCCTCTTACTTCAGGAATATAATTGCCTTACCTGGCATTTTATGAGGCATGTCTCTGACTTTAAAAAAAAAAAAGCTTAAATCTTGGACATATCTGAGATTCAGACATAAACATTAGGTCTCAAAACCTAAAATGTTTACAGGGATTGGTTGGATAAAAGAAAGCCTGAAATCAGTCAGGCAGTTCCTGTTCCACTGAAAGAAGACTTTGGTTGATAACTCCAGAGAACTATTACTACACACACCATGCATATGCCCAGTGTTGCATGTCTTTAGGTTATTTTTTTAAAGAAACCAGAAATCTGGATTTTTATACAGGATTTCTCAGTTTTGAATATTGGCCAAACTTTAAAAATAGTTAAATGATTTACTCCCTAAATTAAAAAGACCTCCAAGATCAGCAGCATCTAACATTTAGTTTGATAACCAGAATGTTGTTTTCAGGCTAACAAATGTAGCACAAAATGGGACAGTGATGGAAAAAAGAAGATGAAGCATTAAGAGACTTTTAGAGAATAAATTGCCATAGAGGGAAAAATTGTCCGAGTTACTCAAATAGGCCGAACAGAAATCTAAGAACAGATGAGAAATAAATTTACATAAATTAGATATATGTGTGCAAACAATACTATATACTTTATAAGACTATGTACAAACAAACAAAAAGCGGCCAGGAGCAGGATATAATAGTTGCATTCTGGAGGGATTTAGTATGCAGAGGAGGGTGGAAAAAGAAGGAAAAATAAATAATTAAAATAAGAAAGAGGCCTTTCCAGACCAATAGTGATAATGAGCCATGACTGGAGTGGTATCAAAAACTCAAAACTCTGTACCTAAGTTTATAAAGCAGAAGAAAAAGTAAAGTTATTAACACAATGTCTGGCACATAGCATGATGGAGTCTATAGCTTAAGTAAAAAGAGGATAAACTCTAAGAAAAGACAAAGATAAAGAAAACACTTTCCTCTAAAAATAAATATCAGAGACAGAAATTTGTGAAATAAGTCCTTATTGATTTCTGACTGTGATTCAGCAAAGCTCATAGGTACTGTTGGAGGAGAAAAACATGTACTTCATATATTTCCTTTCTTTAACAAAGAAGACAGCACACTTGAAATATAACTTCCTGAAGTCCAGTTGAAAACAAGTAGAACTAAATGATGTTTTTAATGACAGTCAATGATGCAATACAGTATATTACTGGATGTTGCATTATAAATCATCATTTGAAAATTTACTCATCCTTTAGCTTTTTGTGCACAGCAAATGTTCCATCCATCCCAGTTTCTCTGGTTGGTGGTAGAAATGCAGAAGAAACTCAAAGGGGGCCTGCTTGGAGGGGCAGACCAGTGGATTCAGGAGAAACACTGGAAAGCAGAGGTATTGTGGCAGGTTGAATATAGGGCTGATGAAAGTGTGAATGGCATCTATAAGCCTGAGACTTGAAGTGACACTCAAGAAAGATCAAGAAAAAGTTTAACATTAAATAAAAGCTCACAGATAAGTTTCCTAATTATGCAAATAATTATGTGAAGAAAATTAAATCTTATTTTAATTTCTTAGAAAATAGAACAAAATGGAAATGTATGAAAATAGAACAAAATGGAAATGTATTGTGGTTTATTTTTATATGCAGTTGCCATAATAGTACATTATCTTCTATTTCAGATACACTGGCCTAGTACAGCAGTAAAAATAGAAGAATGCATAATGAAAGGAAAAGATGCAGTAAGTGTTATTCATTGCAAATCAAACACATCATCAGTTATATTCCTGGTCAACCATAAAGGACTGAGTCACCATATTTGAACTTCAAAAGCACATACAGAATTTTGTTCATGAAGAAAAAACTATAAATGTATGCATATAACAAATGTATAGTTACATAAAACTAATTTCAATATATTGCTTAAGGGAACCACCAGGCCATCTAGTTCTAGATTTTTAAAAATATTTTAGTCAACTTGGATTTATAAATTCATGTACTAATGATTATTTTCTATCTATTTGGGAGAAAAATAAAGAATTTTTCTTTTCTTTTTGTTTGAGGAAAACCTCATTCTTTGTGAGATTTCACTTTGATTATTACAATGCAACAAATGAAGAAACAAAATGAGCTATGATACAAAGTTTGAGGAGACAAAAGTTGTAGACGACTGATTTCAAAGTGTTTTCATTGTTCTTTCCTAATATAAGACACAATATCCTATTTCTCCATAACTTCCATAAGTTCATGGATGGGAAAATGCTATGCACAACCTCACCCCTGACACACTGAAACAGGAGTGAAAGAACTTCAGGTGCTAGGGGTGGGAGGCTTATCTAATGAAACACATAGTATGGAAGGCAGCTTACATGTCCCCACTTAAAAGTGCACTTACCTTTTTGTATTTTAAGCAAGAAAAGAAATCCATGTAAATGACTAGCACACACATTATCTCAACTCCCAGTGCTCTAGCAATTGGATCATAGCCAAGGCCTGAGCAAACACATTCTCTGGCTGCCTTAGCACACAGCGTGATGCTGACTAATTGAACATATTCTTTAAGCCATGACTATCTAGACTCAACTGAGCCAAAATGTGGCCAAATTGGCTCACACTAAAATGTGACGGTGTGCCAATGGAGGAAAAGCAGGTGCTCAAAGTAGTGAAGATGGAATACTTTCACCATGGCTGGATGAGCAAATTCTCTTAACCATATGGTTAGTCCACAGAATAAAATGTTACAAGAAGGGGAAACTGAATAAATACATCAGTTTGTCCTGCACAATCAGCTTAGTGATCTTGGTGATGCGTTCCTCATTCTCGTCAAAGGCATGTTATCAAATTAATTACCAGTGAAATAGATCAGCTGGTCTGCCCATCTTAATGTTGTTATATGAGAGACCTTAAAACATTGAAATCACAATCTGTCCTTATAAACATTGCATTTACTCAAAATTGCATTACTGATCAAAGTAATAGGATTAGAAGGATTTAGTAGTTCTTTCATAATTTATTTTTAAGGAAATAGCATTAACCTAATTTGCTGAGAGGGTGTTGGCTACAATTAATGTAGCCAAATTGACTTTGAAGCATTTTAAAACACATTTTTCATTGAGCATATTGATCATAAAACTCACCTAGTGACTCTGTATTAAACGTTGTCAAGCACTATTCGATACTGTGATTAACTGGGCAATGCAACAATGTGTAAAATAAACGCTGTCCTCAAATAGCTTACATTTAAGCCAGTGTCATCAAACTAGAGCTCCTAAGCCAAACATGGCCTGCAACCAATTTTTGTAGTTTTATTGGGACACAGGCACACAACTCATTATTGTATTCTTACCTGTGGCTGCTATAGCTTCAGAGGTGAATAGTGGCAACAGAGATCAAATGGCCAACCAAACTGAAGACATTTATGATCTGAGCCTATCTATCTATCTATCATCTATCTATCTATCTATATAAAATTGTTGATCCTGGGACTGTAATCTTACAGTAGTTTTATAAAAAATGTTATTTATTTTTTTTCTTTTATTATTCATATGTGCATATAAGGCTTGGGTCATTTCTCCCCCCTGCCCCCACCCCCTCCCTTACCACCCACTCCACCCCCTCCCTCTCCCCCCCACCCCCTCAATACCCAGCAGAAACTATTTTGCCCTTATTTCTAAAAAAAAAGTTATTTCTATTGATTAGTTTTCTATGTATTTACTTGAAAATTATCTCTAAATGTGCTTTATGTAAATTTGTGCTTTTGAGGCTTATGTTCCAAAATGTCAAAATTCTGCAATGCCCTAAAGTCTACATGTTTCCTTATGAATAATGAAGTTTTTTCTAGTTACTGTCTTTCTGATTTTATGCTGATTCACTGTTTATATTACACATAAAATAATAGCATTGGGAATAACTTAATTATACAGAAGAACATATTGCCATGCAATTCTTTTTGTTTGAATATATTCCTGAGCATTTCTCTTTTTGTTCTTCAATTGTGATCTACAATACAAGAAAAATGAATTAATTCCTTTATAAAATGTAATGCACATTTCACTGCTAACTAAAATGTGTATGTCAGTCACCCCAGCTTCTTTTTACCTAGGTCCTTGTCATCTTTTCCTCCACCTCTCTTTCCGCATCCACCCCAGGCAGACTTACAGTGAAACAAGATTTCTAGGGTTAGGAAAAATAAAAATTCAAAAATTGGTTATACTAATCAACTTCTTCCTTTCTGATCCTGCTTTAGAGTGAATGTGCAAATTATGTTCGGGTTTTGCATCACTATAATAGGACACACCTTCTGACTTGTGGTACTGGAGCGTTTGACCCACTTTGTGCCTTCATTAGAGTTGGATACCACTTGGAGGTAAGAGAGTTTCCTTCTTTGCTGTCTATAAAAGTGACACTTGGAATGACTGTTTTAAAAGAAAGGATGTATTTCTTCCCAGGAAAGATGAAAGTATTTGGATATACTGATTTAGTTTGCTTAAGTCAGAGAAATAATTTCTCTGAGCCCTTAAAACCCTTGCCAGCTCTAAATACATAATGTGATTTTCTATTCACCAATTTTATTTGTTCAATTTCCACTTAAAAAGCATTTACATATATATGTATATATATATTCTTATGAACTTATCCATCAAACTGCAATGTATGTGTGTGTGCATATAGACATAGGTTCAAACAAATATGCAGTTCACATAAATAAAATGCTTTATGTAGTACTTTACAGAGGACATGCAAAGACTTGGATGTTTTATTTACTTTGTCCTAGCCAGGTGAGGTAGGAAGCTCAGGAGAGGAAAGATTTTAGAATGACTGAAAATAGATATCAGTGGGAGAAAGTTATACACTGCCTTCCTGAAGACCCCACCACCAGGTGGTACAGTATGATATAGTAATGAAAGCAATTTGCAAGTTATTTCTAAAGACAACATGGAGAACATGGAAGAAGTTCTGAGCAGAGTACTTGGTTGTCATGGCATTAATAACACAGGATTAATTTAAGCAGGGAAAAATGAAAAGCAGAAATTTGAGGAGATTGTTAGGAGTCTTCTCCAGAGACCATGAGGCTATTATTTATTACCAGTGTTGCAATAGCAAATAGCAAAGCATTGGAAGAGTGTATATAACAGTATAACAGAGAGTGAGCAGACAGAGAGAAGCTTGCTATGATCATGATAGTAGGAATTCAGAATCACACGTATGAAAAGAAAATGAAGTTTTAAATATCAACAATACTACAGAGAGCACAGTTTTGCTAAGGGAATAGGTATTAAGGAGAATTAGATGTAGCTGAATGGTGACAAAATAATGGCAATAATATTGTCTACTTAATGGCAGTCATATTGTACATTTAATAAAATAGTTAAGGAAACAATATGGGGAAGGTATAGGAGTGTTGAAAGAAGATTTTTATTAGTAAAGCAGATAGAGAATTCTTCAATTGTTTATCAAGTAACGGGATAATCTTACTTGCCTTCTTGGAGATAAAGAGGGCTAGGTGAGGTTCCAGGGAGGAGACCACAGGATACTCACTGGCATCTGTTGACAGTTGGATATAATGGGCTATTTTTCAAGAGACAGAGAGACCTGAAATAGAAGTATAGTTTTGATAATTTATTGTGTGTGTTTGTGTGTGTGTGTGTGTAGGTGTTTGCATGAAAACTAAAATCTTTAGACATGGTATCATTGCCTAGAAGGAGAATTTGAGTAAAAAGAGAAAATAGCTAAATATAGAACCCAAGAGAACCAATATTTGTAGGTTGGCAGAGGAGGAATCCCACAAAGGTTAGTGAGGAGTGACTAGGAGGACGTAAAGGACAATAGAAGAGTGAAAAAGCACCAAATGAGAGGATGGCTGCAAAAGTTTGAAATCTCACAGGGTCCAGTGTCCGTCATACCAAGAAAGTCTTCGGAAGCATTTAGGAGTAGTGTTTCACTGGAATCTGAATGCACACCATGGTCTTCTAGAATAAAGGACTGAAGCCAACTTTTTCAAGTCACTTTTATCTTTCTTCATTTCATTAATTTAAATTTTTAACTAAGGTATTAAATAAACACAAAAAGTAAACAGATTGTAAATGTATTTCTATATCTTTAAAAAAATTTACCCCGATAAACTAGCATCCAGACCAAATAATTTATTTTATATATTTTCTTTTATTTTCACCTTTTTTTCTCATAAGACATAAAATCTTGTATTTATTTTTCTTATTCCCTTTTAGTTTATCCTCCTTTTTACCATTTTTTAAATTTTGAAGTCTTTCTTGAGTTCTGTCATGTCACCTTGAGGTTTTTTTTACCTTTGATCTATGTTTTGCTTTCATTCTATCATTTTCTTAATTTATTTTAGTTTTTAATGAAAGTCTAAGTTACATTCCTTATACATTTCCTGGCATGTCTTTTGATGTGGTAAAGTTATTATGTTCCTTACTCTTTTTTTCTATAATATTGTGCTGGAGTTAACTGGAAACTTTTTCTATTAGCTTTTTATTAAACTTTTAAAAAGGGAGTGTAGGTCTGAACAGATTTCTAGCTTTACATTTTAGAGCTTACCATTCTGCTTTGTGTTGTGAAATGGTAAGAATTATGAATACACACAGGTACACACACAGACACACACTCTCTCTCGGATATCACTCCTCCCCTTTAATATGGATATTTTTTTCCCTAACCTTCTTTATGAGTTCTTGTATAATCTGTATTGTACTCAGCAGTTTCTTCTGGGTAAGGGTGTTGACCTACTGATTTTGAGAATGCATCTTTCTCATAGACCCCTGGCTTTTACCTAGAGATGAATTAACTTCTGTCAGTGAGCACTTGGAAATTTGAGTTTTTCCTTCTCAAGTCTGAAAATATCTGGCTGCTTCCCTCTGCTTTCTCTTATGAGATACTAATGCCATTTGTGATTTGTGGCTATCGTAAGTTCATCTACACACCTTCACATTTGAGGGCTCCTGAAGATGTCCTGAAAGTTAATTCTCCTACAGGTGTTGTTAGTGAGATTTGATTCTGCCTTCCTAGGTCATCCCTTCATTTTTATGAAGGAATTTAGGGAAAGAAAAATGCATGCCTCTACTGCTTTTCTCTCAAAAGTCTTAAAATAACTTTTAAAAGTAAAATACCATGCAGAAATAAAATATTACATTTATAGAAGTGTGTATCTACCTCTATTTTTGCTCATGTCTCAAGGAAAACAGAATTATGTGGTAAATGTAGAGGTCCACACAATAAAAAGCAGAGGTGCAGGTTTAAAACATAAATTTGTAGAGAACTGGCAAAGGCCTTGGAATTCCTGCAAAACTGAAATGGCTTTCATTACTTAATTGCTTTCTCTAGAACAGAATGACTTTAGCACAATGATATTAGCTTGTTACTATTTGTGTTAGCTGTCTGTGTTTCATAACTACCAAAACCAGTCACTCGAAACAAGTGTTTAAAGAAGCCACTCTAAACAACAAATGTTTATTATCTCATAGTTTTTATGGGACAGGAGCCCAGGCACTGCTTAGTCAAGGTCTCACCAGCACTGAGTGGAAGGTGTTGCCTGAGTTGTGATCTTTCCAGAACTCATGGTCTTGTTCTATGTTTATGCTGCTACTGTAGAATTTGCTTCCTTTCAGTTGTTGGAACCAAGTCCCCGCTTTCCTTGAAGGAGATCAGCCAGGGGCTGTGCTCAGCTCCTGGAGACCTTTGGCAGTTCTTTTGTGTGTAGGCCTTATCCTGGCATGTCAGTGTATTCTCCTAGGCCAGCTGGAGAATAGTTCTGCCCAGTTGACTAAGAGGGCCTCATCTGTTGTGACTTTCTTATATAACTTTAATAAGCTTTATAACTTATAACGTCCATGAGAATGACTGTCCCATCACCTCCTGCCAGACAAAGAACTATAATCTAGGAGAAATTTCCAACCATTTCACAGGTCACACCCATAACTGAGGGAAAGAGTTTGTTTAGGGCATCTCTCTCCTTGAGAACAAGAGTGGGACTCTTCACTGCTGTTAGCATTCTGTCTATCTTATAACCATCCTTTGCATCTTTTACATGTGAAAGGAAGATTATATTAGTACAAGTGTTTTTAGAGGAGGTTTCTGAAGAGACAAGGCAAAGGCACAGAGTGAAGAGTCAAAAATGAAATCATTCATGTTTGAACTTTGTCTACAGCTCTCCTCCTAAAAAAGAAGACTGCATTCTTCCTTACAAGTACCTTGCAAGATTGAGTTATGAATGTATGGGTGATTTCCAGAATTTGCAGGCCCTAACATGGGAAAATTTGATTGCTTTTGAGGGCATATATTTTTGAATGCAGACTGCTGTCATATTTTATAAGTATCAAGTATATTTTAAGTATAATTTTATTTAAAGCATATTTATGTCACTTTTTAAGTATGTGGACTAAATTAGTCATGCAAATGTATTTTGCACCAGAGAAAATTAAAAATGAACTTTAGGATTTTCAGCATATGATTTTGATATGTTTCCTCTACTGTATAAAGTAGCATTTCAGCTATTTAAGTTTGAATGTTACTGACTTTGAAATCATAAGGGGTATATATACTTCTAGGAAAGTATGAATCTTTTTGGAAATATGTTAGAAACTATACCCAAATACTATTCTTATCAATGCACATTTGAACTTTTTAGACTGGAAATGATTTATTTTCCTACTATTTACAGTCTCCATAAATATTTTGTAATGTATAAAATAGTACAAAGATTTCTATGTAGACACAGCAGTGTTCTAACCTTTTAGGATCATGTGTTTTAAAAATTATACCATGGTTCCCTTTAAAGCTAGAAACCTTAGTGTCAGCTAATAGTGAAAAAAATGTGATTTCAAAATAGATGGAAACCTGGATGTTACAAATATATAGTTTTTTATTAGATAGGTTTTTCTCATAGGTATTTTATCAATGTTTGTTTCTTGACAGATTAATTGTTTCTGCTTTGAGTACAGAGTAAAAATTCCATTATAGTAGCCATGAATTACCTGTAACAATTCCAGAAATTTAAAAAAATTGTCCATCAGGGTTATGTGATTGATAGTAGATTCTGATTTATACAACTGAGATCAATACAGCCACGCACTTAATATCCTTTGTGTTTTACAAGGAAATATGAACATTTTGATTTAAGAGATTATTTTTCTTAGTATCACTTACTCTGAACCCAAAAAATTCTAAAGATTTCAAATTTGTTCTTTCAATGAGTTTCTGTTTGATCTCTGTTTACTTCTGTTTGTCTGTTTGAGATGATCAATACTGCACAATACACTCAAAGGTAGCAATTTAAATATAATTTGTAAAAGTCAAATGGCTATTTGAATAGAATTAATATAGGAAAGTGTGAATTTTCATGGGTGACAT